ATCTGAAATCTTGAAAACCAGGGAGAGAAAGAAACGGAGTCCGGATCTGGTGACTAAGGGGGGTGCTTAGTCAAGTGGCTAAGCTCCCCTCAGCCCTTAGATTAGAATGGGTAGATCTAATGGTCCAGATGAAGGAAGGGTTAGCAATTAATCAGATGGGTAGTTTTGGCATTTAAAAAAATAATTAAATCCTGATTTCCATTTTTTTTTTCCCCTCTCCAATTCTCTCCAACCGTCTTCACCAAAAAAAAAAAAATTTATCTCCAACCGTCTCCTTCTTTCACGTTCACAGAGAGAGAGAGAGAGAGGATAGAGATGCGCGGCGACGGTGAGAGAAGCGCCGACGGCGACGATGAGAGAAGCGCCGACGGCGACGATGGAGAGAGAAAGAAGATATCGACGGCGTTGATGGAGAGAGGAAAAGGCGTCGCGACGGAGGCGGTAGCATTTGAGAGAGAGAAAGTAGATCTAGAGAGAGGCGATGGCGGAGAGAGAGAGAGGCAGTGGCGGAGAGAGCTTCGACGACGATGGAGGAGAGAGAAGCGGCGCGGTGATGGAGAGAGAGAGGTAACGACGGCTGTAGAGAGAGTCGACGGCGGCGTCGGCGGTGGCAGCGGCGGCGGCGGCGGCGACCCGTATACGTCGTCTGAAGGAAGAACAGTGATTTGTATAGTTTGTATGTTTTGTAACATTAGTTTGTATTGTTAGTATTTTTGTACAAAATGTCAGTATGGTTTGTATGTTTTTCTTTGACAGTTTGTACTCTTAGTATGTTTTTCTTTGACAGTTTGTACTCTTAGTATGTTTTTCTTTGACAGTTTGTACTCTCAGTATGTTTTTCTTTGACAGTTTGTATTCTTAGTATGTTTCGCTTTGTATTGTAAGTACTAATAATTTGTATACTTTATATGTATTGATTTGTGATGCAAAAAACATTACAAACATGGTTGACAAAAATGACAAACATGTGGACAAAAATAACAAACATTACAAACAATACAAAAGAAACCAACAAACATTACAAACATTACAAAATAACAAACATTACAAACATTGCAACACAAACATTACAAACATTACAAACAAACATTACAAACAGTACAAAGCATACTACACGTACAGAATATCACTACTTACAATACAGATTGGTAAACTTGTATTACAAACAAATGAATACAAAGTATACAAATCATAACATAAAAGTATACAAACTTGAATAACAAAAGTTACAAATACAAATCAATGAATAGAAAGTGTATAAATCATAACATAAAGTATACAAACTAGACAAACAAACATTACAATGTATACAAAATAGTAATATAAACATTACAAACATCACGAACTCAATAGTGTTGTCGGAAAATCATCCACCACCGTCTCTGGTCGCCGAAAAACTGCTCCGCCGTCGCCGGAAAAGCTCTCTCTCTCTCTCTCTCTCTCTCTCTCTCTCTCTCTCTCTCTCTCTCTCTCCCCCCCTGTTACGTGGGGTAATTGGATTCCCACAAAAGAAACCAAAGCCAACTGTGGCCTCTCTCTCTCTGCACGCAAGGGGAAAAAGTTCCCAGGCCCAGGCGAATTGCGTCGTCGGCTGCCGGCCGGGGAAAAGAAGAGACGAGAGACGCCCAGGTGAATTGCGACCGACGACCGGCTGCCCGGCGGGGAAAAGAAGGGACGAGACGCACGGCGGGGAGGGAATAATCGGAGGACAAAAATATTTAATAAATAAAAATAATCATGCAATTACTGTTTTGCCCTTCATTAAATTAGATTAATTGTAGCCATTGGATTTTAATGAGGTGCAATGGCTGAGATTTACTTAGTCATGTGACTAAGGGACCCCCCCTTAGTCACCTGATCTTAGCCCGAAAGAAACGCCGGAAATTGCAGGGTTCATGTGAAAGTGGTAGAAGCGAGGAAGAGGGAGGAAGAACAATTTTATATTTATTTTTGTGTAACTTTACTCTTTTACCTTTAATGAAACCTGTTGTTAGTATAACAACACAAGGAGGGATTAATTCCCTAAATACAGATAAAACTAAAACAAATTCCTAAACTACCACATTTTTAAAAATATTTCCCAAAATACCTAAGTTTGGAGTGGTTCGAGTTTGAGGAACTCGAACTACTAACCGGTTCGAGTGTAGGAGACTCGATCTAGCCGTAGATCGATGATATAAGCCTCGAACCACTCCTATGAAATTTTCAACAACCTTAACTTTGTGCTCGGTTATCCGATCGTAGCAAAAAAAAATTTATTTCGCATAACTTTTTGAGGACTACAACTTTTATAATAGAAATATTTTCAGAATATATGTGAAAATGTGAAAAATAAAGTTAAATGTACTTCCAAACCACCTTATATTAAAAAATATTCCTATTTTGAAAATTTATTCCTAGTAAATGTTGTAGTACTCAAAAAATTATGCAAAAAAAAAAACTTAGCGACGTTCGGATTGCGGAGCACAAAGTTATGATCCTCCAAAGTTTGACAAATTCGAAAATTTGCTCGTTTATGGATAGCAAATGACGTTTTCTAGGAAGATAGCTATCCAAAAATTTCTCGTTTGGAAAAATATTGCTCTTTTGGCAGAAATTCCCTATATATAAAAAAATTTCCCGTGCCTTCGCCCCGAGAAAATGTCATTTGTTACCCCTAAACGAGCAATTTTTTGATTTTGCCAAACTTTAGAGGATCATAACTTTGTGCTACACAATCCGAATGTCGCAAAGTTTTTTTTATTTTGCATAACTTTTTGAGTACTACAACATTTACTAGGAATAAATTTTCAAAATAGGAACATTTTTTAATATAAGGTGGTTTGGGAGTAAATTTAACTTTACTTTTCACAGTTTCACATATATTCTGGAAATATTTCTATTATAAAAGTTGTAGTCCTCAAAAAGTTATGCGAAATGAAAAAAAAGTTTGCTACGATCGGATAACCGAGCACAAAGTTAAGGTTGTTGGAAATTTCAAAGGAGTGGTTCGAGTTCACTGAACTCGAATCACTTCAGCTCCACATGGTTCGAGGCTTATATTATCGGATCTACGACTAGATCGAGTCTCCTAAACTCGAACCGGTTAGTAGTTCGAGTTCTTCAAACTCGAACCACTCCAAACTTGGGTATTTTGGGAAAATTATTTAAAAGTGTGGTAGTTTAGGAATTTGTTTTAGTTTTATCTGTATTTAGGGAATTAATCCCACAAGGAGTGTTGTTATTCGGCTTAGGATAGAGTCAGTAACCATTGGTTACTGAGCTATGAGTAATTAAATCTGGACATTTAGATCTAAGTAGGCCCAGAAAATCTAGATCTAAGGGTTGTCAATTAAATATATTTTATTTTCCCTAGTTTTCATAATCGGCTCTTATTTTCTTCGTTTTAACTCGGATTTCAATTTTTTTTTTGCACACATGGAACGAGTTCGTTGTGCTCTACAAAATGAGATCAATTTTCAATATATTTCGAGAAACATTTTTTTACCAACTGCATACCATATGGTAACTTCTTCGTTTTTAAGTCGTTTTTGAAAACATTTGCTCAAAAGGAACAAGTTCATCATGATCTATTGGATCTACAAATTTCTGGGTGAAAAAAATACTGGAACAAAAATTACCATACTTTACTACTATGGTATGTGGGTGGTAACTTGTGGTAAACAATGATGAAAGTCATAAATGATAGTTAGTATACTCCTACTATCATGTATTCAATCTTCTTACCATATTGGTATGTTCATACCATCATGATACGCTTTCTTACCATATGGTATTAAATATGAGCATACCATATGGTAATGACTGGTAAAAAATTATTCAATTTTTTTGTACTAAAAATATATCAAAGTGGATATTATTTTAAAGAGCACATTTAATCTGACTTATCTTTGCAAAAAAAATTAAATTTCAACTTAAAACGAGAGAGAAATCGTCCGTTAAATATTAAACGGGAAAAGATAAAAGACTTTTCAGGAGAGAGAATACTGATATCATGCGGATTTGAACAAATTACTGATGATTACTCACCATAAGAGTTACTGATCCGCTCTCTTGTTATTCTATCCGCCCCTATAACCCTTATGTAAACTAGACGGCTAAATGTCGCCCTTATTTTACTATTATCGCCCTAACTTATAATATAAAACTACTAAATTACCCTTCATTAATCAAACCAAATTCCACCATACAAAACACACTCTGAAACCCTAATTTCCTTTAACAACTCCAACCTTCTCTCTCCGAACGCCCTCTGCCGTTGTCGGACACCGTTCCTTCTCCCCGATTCCTAGTGGCACCATCCACCAGCCGCAAAAGGATCGGAGGCCATGGCGGGTAACAAACCCCAAACCAATTCCCAGAATCCAACTCACTTGTTCATAAATAAAAACTCACATGTTCTCCACGTCTCTCAAACTCTTCACTCCGATTACGACAGGCTATTTCCATTCTAAAGGAGCACTAAATTGAAAGAATCTCACTTCATTGCCCCCCGTCAACTTCAATGCTTCTTTTTTTTTTATTAAGTTTGATTTTCTTGTTTGTACAACATCAAAATCCAATAGTAAGTAGATTGCCTGATGATGTCATGATGCGATACTGGAATGGCTTGCCACGATTACAATTTTGCCGGTTAAGTTACCCTCGTCCGATTGACATGGTGGTGGCCGGCGGGGTCAGGATCGACAGTGGTGGGAATAAAAAAGCGTTTAACCTCTCATAAATTGTGTTTGTTATAATAATATATTTTACCAATAAAAAAGAAAGAAGGGTAAAAAGATCCTAATAATTTGTTAGTAAGGGCGATTACAATAAACCCAGGGCGACATTTAGCAACTCCCGTTGTAAATTGTCCCGAGTTAGTCTTATCTTGTTTGGTCAAATAGATAACTAAATTGGAAGAAATGACGCCGTTTGGGGGATATTGGCCATAGAGATCTTAACACGTGTCAGGCGGTTTTAAGGTTCTGCGAATGAACCCTCGTATATATGAATAATATGAACCAACTAACCAAGCCTTTTCTTCTCAATAAGCGATTTGAACAAAGCCCTCTTTCTGTATCGGTCTTTGCGACTCTCTCCAGAACTCTCCAGTACATTTCCTCGCCGCTATCTCTATACATCATGCCTCGCCGGAGCTCTGGAGGTCTGTTCTCCTTGCAGATCTGCTTTTCACATGTGCGATTGTCTCTGTATAATACGTTGTTCATTTCACGTCTTCTTGTGATATCTAGGGTTTCAGTTTAAGCTGTTGGTGTTAGATTCCGTTGAGTTATTTGGTTGATGAGATTTGAGGGAGAGGAATGATATATATCTATGCGTTTTTTCTATTTCATTTGGCTGAATCGTATTTCTTTTTATCTTCTGAGAATCGATCGTCTAATCTCCTTCGACTTCGCAGCCGTTGTTTGGGTGGTCGTTCGTGTTTCTTTGTTATGCTTGTACTCTCCTGATCGTTTCTCTAGATGGTTATTAAGTGAGCGACCCAAGTCCGCGAATTAGTTTATTTCCCCTGAATAGAGGATCTATTATGGGACTCGAGGGAGATCGTGAAATTTATCTGGTTTGTTTTGGTAAAACCTTTTGATTGCCCCCGGATTTTGGTTTATGTAAGACCGGAATTTCTGATGGAGCTTATGCTTTTGGAGTACGTGCATGTGGATGAGAAATGGGCACTGTCAGTGAAAAAAGTGTGTTTGATTTATGGGATGAAGTTTGTAAACTACCTCAAGTGGGTTGAAGCTTCAATCTTCTAAGTTGGTTTAATGTTGCAGGGATTGTTCATTTTGTTTGCACCATATAGCTGCTGCAAGATTCTTTTATATAATTTTGTTGTTTCTTATTTTCCAGTTCATTCTGTGCCCTCCCTTGAGTGTCTGGTACCTTTTGTGGTACTTTTGTTGAAAGACTATACTTTTGTTAAAGTTTTTCTCTGTTTCTTTAAGGGTTTTCTTAAGAAGAGTTACTTTAGAACCCTTCATGTTGAACAGTGCTATGTCTGTCTTCTTTAGTTCTGCTATTAGTCTTCCAGCAATTTAGCTCTTAGACGAGATTGGTCAACAACTAAGCTAATCTGTGAATGCTTTCTACAGGTAGATCTGCACCTAGGGCAGCTCGTCGCCCTTCAGCTGCGCGTAGTCCAGCACCTCAACCGGGTACAGTTGTGTTGACTATTATGTCCTTTAGTTGCCTGTTTGACATGTATATGTTTGATGTCAATTCTTTTGTGCATTGCTTCTTTCTGGGTTATGTTGTTGGAACTTGATGTATTAGAAGTTACTAGTTCTAATTATTTGTTGGTATAATCTTATGCAGCTAATCGTGCTTCTCCTCCTGCCGTTGCTCAGAGCAGTGGTGGCGGCTCATTGCTTGGAGGGATTGGCTCCACCATCGCTCAGGGTATGTGAAGTGTACAAGTGTTTATTTGTTGTTGCATCCTTAATAGTCTCTAGTGCAGGTTATTGATTGCAGTCGGTGAACGTTTTTCCCCTGCATTTTTTTTATTTCATTTAGGGATGGCTTTTGGCACTGGGAGTGCAGTGGCCCACAGAGCTGTAGATGCTGTGATGGGACCTCGTACCATTCAACATGAAACTGTTGGTGCTGAGGCTGCTGTCCCCGCAGCCACTGCAAGCAGCATGTCTGCAGATGGTTGTGGTGTTCATTCCAAGGCTTTCCAGGATGTAAGTGGGCTTCTCATCCTAGGTCAAAATTGAACTCTGAAGCAGAAACCATACATTTTTACCGACTGATTGGGGTTGGTTAATTTTTCAGTGCCTGAACAGCTCTGGCAGCGAGATCAGCAAGTGCCAGTTCTACATGGATATGTTGGCCGAGTGCAGAAGGAACTCTGGTTCTGGGTTGAGCGCCTAAATGCTCTTTCTCGTTGTTCTCTCATCAGTTATCTATCTGTGCACCCTGATGGTGAAGACGCAGTATAACAATTGTTGTTCAGATCCATATTTAATAACGGCAGGACTTGAGTAAGGGAGCTTAATGAAATAGATAATTGGAGGGTATTCCAATTAAGTATGGGATCTTAATCTTGCTTCCTTCAGATTGCTTGGTCTCGCTTGTGATTTCTTGTACTTGTGGGTAGCGGTGGGCATTCGGTCGGCTCGGTTGAAATCGAATCGAAATTATGAATACCAGGTCTCTGGATTCTCTCAAACCTCAAATCGTATTCGAACAGAATTATAATTCTGTTCGGTCGATTTAAACCGAAGTATAATTCGGTTCGGTTTTTCACACAAAACCGATTTAGTGAAGCTATTTGTATTTTCTCACTTTTAAATTATTTTTCATCCTAATATAAACAATAAATATGCAATTATATGCATCATCAATGATAAAATCAAACTTTTCAACACATAAATCATAAAATATTTCAAATATTTAAGTCTAAAAACAACTACAAACATAAAAATTCATCATTGGAGTTTGTAAATATAGTATTTCAGTTTTCGGTCAAAAATTCGAAAATTCGGTTCGGTTGAAAGAATCCTGATTTCTGAACTATTCATATTTTCTTTCTGAATTCCGAATTGAAGAGCATAAATTTGATTTCGATTTGGTTTAATTTGGTTTCAGTTTGATTCGGGTTTACCGAATCGTTTGCCCACTCCTACTTGTGGATATGGATGTGTAATGGGCTTAAGTTAGGCTGCATAACCATTGGTTACATATCCTTGTATAACTAACTCTGAATCTATTTTTAGCGAATTAGCGTGTTCAGCAAATTCAGATTTAAGTTATGCACTAACTAAATTTGAATCTTTCTTTTTTAGTGGGTCGAGAAAATTCAGATTTAATCGTGGGAAATTAAATGCATTTTAAATTTCGTAGTTTTTTTAATCGGCTTTTATTTTCATTCCAACTCGAATTTCAATTTTTTTTATTGATGGAACGGGTTCGTTGTGCTTTATAAAATAATTTTATTTTCAATATTTTTTTAAAAAATTCCATATATTTCTTTACCAACTTCATATCATATGATATCTTTTTCATTTTTAAGTCGGTTTTTAAAATTTTACATAGAATGAATGAGTTCATCATGATCTATTGGATCTATAAGCATCTGGATGAAAAAATACAAGATAAAAAATTATCACACACTATCATCTTGGTATTAGGGGTGGTATTTTGTGATAAACAATGTTGAAAGTCGTAAATGACAGTTAGTATACTCTTATTATCATGTATTCTACCATCAGACAGTCTTTGTATGTTCATACCACCATGGTATGCTTACATATCATATAATATTTTTATATTAATACCAATTAATATTATCATGGTAAAGAGTAGTAAAAAATGCCTCAATTTTATTTGTTTCAAAATATATCAAAGTGAATATCATTTTGAAGAGCACAACCTTGGTAGAACGCAGAAGCTCCAGTCAACCACATGTCAGTTTCCTATTGGTGAGTTTATCTTACTTTTTTATATTTATTTCTTGATTTATTTATGATAATTAAGAACATTAAATATTAAGAAAAAAAGAAGGTGAATCCACCAATAACAAACTGACATGTGGATGGTTGAAACTTCTGCGTCCAACTAAAGTTGGAGCTCGGAATTTTCTGCCTGTGAGACCAATCCCAATGAATTCAATGGCTCACCCTCCTCTCCTGCCGTTCGGCACCGATGAGTTTATCTTACTTTTTTATATTTATTTCTTGATTTATTTATGATAATTAAGAACATTAACTATTAAGAAAAAAAGAAGGTGAATCCACCAATAAGACTCTTTCATAGAATTCCAACAATTTCTCCCGCTCTTCAAAAGCCCACAGGAACGGAGTTGATGCTCCCACATCCATAGCATGAGTAGTTAAAGCAAGTGAATGATTTGAAATTCGAGTTATTTCACGGAATAACACTCGTATATATTGAGCTCGTAATGGTACCTCGCAATTCAAAAGTCTTTCTACGGCTGAAGAATAAGCGTGTTCTTGGGCCATCATAGAAATAACAAACTGACACGTGGATGGTTGAAACTTCTCATTCCAACTAAAGTTGGACCTCAGAATTTTCTGCCTGTAAGACCGTTCCCAACTGAATTCAATGGCTCACCCTCCTCTCCTGCCGTTCAGCACCGTCGTGATCTTCACCCGAACAGGGCTCACATAGTCACGTTAAGATGCTCAACCAACAAGTACAGGAGGCTCATGTACTTGCCCCCTGGCCAATGTTGAAATCCACGACGTGGAAACCGTTACCCTTCTTCCCTTGTTTTCTCCCTCCTGTATAGTGGATTCGAGAATCAGGAGATTCGCCACCATGAACCCAAGCTTGAAACAAGGGGAGAGCTCGAAGAGGAGCTGAGTCGATGCGATGTGATCTTCCCACAGTGAGGCGAAGTGGAGGCGCGCCACCTCCATGTTCAAGACCCACATAGTTGGCAAGCCCACCGTCATCCTCGCTGATGCGAAAGGCAACAAGTTCTTTATCCTCGTAGGGACGTTTAAAGGGTCTTGGGATTTAAGCGCAAAGATTAGGCAACAACTTAATCCTTTTGTCAAATTTGGATTTCGTGATTTGGGATTCACTAGTGTTTTCTCTTTGTGAAGATTGGTAAATGTAGGGTTTTGCTGTATTAGACGATACGTACAAATTAGGTACCAAATAGGTCACAAGTGTAGCAAGAATGGAGCAAGAATGAGAGATCACGACAGAGGACATGAAGATCACGGCCGGGAAGAGGTGCATCGTAGTAAAGTACCAAGATCGCGGTCTTCAACCTCAAGATCGCGACTGAGATCTCTGGAGCAATGGGCGGGAACTTGGAGAGGAAGCCAACGAGGGAGAAGCAGAAGGTTTCGGCAGTTGACTCACGACCTCCTTCTTCTGAGCATGCGAGAAAGATCGCGACCGTGACATCTGAGATCGCGACCAAGATGTCAGGCCGCGAACTTCCAATTTTTCACGCGTAAAGATGTTGACCCGAGATTGCGGCCTCCTCCCATAAGTTCACGACCGTGAACTTTACAGCCGTGAACTTGCCTGAAATTTTAGAATTCTATAAATAGGGGTTCCCCCCCCCCCCCTTAAGAAGATGGGTTTAGACAAATTTTGATTATAGAGAGAGATTAGAGATAAGTAGAAGTTTGGAGAAGAAGAGGAGGAGAAGAAGTGTAGGAGCGCTTTGGAGGAGGACTTCCATCAATTGAAGACCCTTTCTTCATGATTTCCTCCCCTCTTTTTATGTCTTTTCTCCCCCCCCCCCCTTCTTTCATGGGGTGATCTCCCAAGGTACTAGGAGTTAAAACCCTCAAACCCTATATTAGGTTTATAATGTAGATGTATGAATTATGTTTGGGTTTATGATGGATATGTTTGTCTAGCGATTTTATTGCTTCATTTATGCTTGATTATGCTTGGGTCCTACTCTTTTGCTATTAGCCTGCAACTGAGCCATTGTTAGGATGGAGTTTGTGATCTTTCTCGCAGGTAGATTCCTTCTTGGTTATGAATCAAATCGTGAAACTTTATGCTCGATTTTGTATCGGAGAGCATGCCAGGCCTAAGGGTCATGGTCGTGACATGTGGCCGTGACCTATTTCTTGCTCTATTCGATGCAAATGTGGCCATATGAGCGTCAAATTGATCCCCATCCCCAATCAATTGTGGCCGAGTAGAGGACCTGGAACATCATCAGAAACACCAAACAAACATAAAAATGACAAAATAAGGAAGCTCCCCATAAATGAACCTTCATAACAACCTTACTCATGCTAAAACTCATCAAGTATGTCTAGGAACGAATATTATCATAAACTAACTTGAATGTGGCCTAGGCATGGTGATTTGGCACACAGAATGTCCTAAAAATGAAGGACAATGACAATAATTTGTGTGTTATCAATTGCCAATCAACTCTAATTTAGACTTAGTTTTGAACCATTATTGTCTTATAGTGGTGGGTTGGTGGCCACCATGACAACCAAGGAGGGTTACAGTCCAATGGAGAAGAATTGGAGAGGGGAAAGGAATAGCTAGGATTTTTGGAGAGACATAATAATCAAATATAAAAGGGTAGCAATTAGATGTGATATTTTTTTAATTTCAAACTTACCCTCCGCTAGAGACGAAGTTGTCGCTTAGGGTAAATTCAAAAGGCGCGGAATAGAAATCTATCCAAAAGCTTAATCCCTAGCAAAAAAGTTACTTTAATCAACATAAGGGTAACAGTATCCTAGGCTACTTAGGCTCCTTAGGTTCGATCATTATCTAGTCATCACGTGAGCAGTTGGCAATTCCTAAACTAAAGATCGATAGTTAAGAAGAGGTACTCGGGGTAACTCCCTTGCACTATCTTACGTCTAACATGCAAATGACTAACTATGTTGGGTTTATCGAAGATGGTGCTTGAGCTCTCTAATCTTATGGGCCTTCGTCGTTATCCCATGCCTACGAGTACATCCCCCAAAGACCCATTGTCACCTCATTCTAGGCTCACGTTTGTGGGGCATTATGAATTTAGCTCATTTCAATAGATTCTATCTATCTTGCGCACTAAAGAGACAGATCGACACACGCTTGCGTTCCCCTAAAGCTTTTTCTAGGAAGGGTGGAAAGCTTTTGTAGCACATGCAACTTGTCGAAGCTTCATCCATCCCATCCTCGTCTATTGATCGGACACCAATTGCTTCTTCAACCTCCTCTCATTCTTGTGAAGAATCTTCCCCATGTTGAGTACCAAGCTCTTCATCTTCTTCAATTTCTTCTTACTTCCTCACAACCTCATCAATTCTCACTTCTTTATCTATCTCTTTTTGATGATTAAGAGCAATGATGGTTTTACAAGCAATCTCTTCAATATATGGATAGTCAAGGTTCACTTGCTTGTCCACCTTCGAGACTCCTTCCTCTTTTCTTTCATTGATGATATCGAAGAGGCAATCTTGATTGAGTCTCGAACAAAGTTGTTCAATGTCTCTTTTCTTCTTTTCCAACCTATAGAGTATTTCTTCTTGCTCGATGAGGAAGTCTTGAGTAGAGGGGTCAGGACATCCTATGATGGAAGATGTCCCTATGGTCTTCACTTTGTTGAGCCACCATTCCTCTTGTTTAATGTCTTTGATCCGAAATCAACCCAGAGGAAGGTTTGGATTGCTAGCATCTAGCCACTTCATTGGGATTTTGTAGTGCTCGAATGCCAACTCTCTAAGGCTCTTTGGTGTAGGTGGTGGTGGAGGATGAAGTATCCTCCCACTCCATCTTTCTAAGTTGACCTCCAAGAGGCTCTTTGGGTATATGATTGGAGTTTGGTGAGTTGTCTCGAGGCCATCTAGATATGGCGTACTCGCCTTAATTCGCTCAAGGCTCATCTCCAACTCGGTCTTTACCGTAGATTA